TTAAAAAAGAAATCACATGACTTTAGTAATTAAGCTAAAATGTAAAAAAAAAAAATTAGCAAAAAGTGAGGCATTACCAAATCTCTGAGCTACCAGGTGTGGTTGGCTGTTGCAGTCGCTCACCTCTGGAATGATGCTGTTCATGTTCTTATATAATAAATTTAACAGACCAGACAAAAGTGCAAATGGGAAGAGCGCGAACAGCAAAAGGAATCAAAACCATCCTGACAGCAAAAGTAATGCAATAAAACATGAAAATTACAAGGTGGAAATGAAGTCAGTACCTTAGGCTGTACACGCTATACCTATTCCACAGCTTCTAAGAAGTTTTACAACAGTATAAATAGATGAAGACAAATACAGGGAAAATTTAAGTGAAGTAGGTGACGCAGCTCACTCTTACCTCAAGCTTATGATTTTATTACAGAGACAGCAGTCTTGCTAGAAATAAGTCTAATGGGTCTACTATCACATCAGTGCGCGCACACAACTCCTATAAAATTCCCCACAAAGATCATGTACGCACAGATCTCACGTTATTATATTTTCTTAATATCATTTTACTGTAGCTTTGTAGGATGCTTTTAATATTAAGCAGAGCAGGCTTGTAAGAGATTCAACATCTAAAAATAGCCCTGAGATTATCAATACAGTCGTTGGTAATTCTGTTAGCCCCTGAAAATGAAAATAAAGTGATCGTGGCTAAACAAATGTATAAATTGCTAGTACATACGCGTAGGAAAAGAGAGCAAAAAATCCACAAATTATTCCTGCTAACGTGTATAATTTCAGGGACGATTACAATGGAAAATAACTAGTACTTACTCTTGATACTGGACTCTAAGCTCCCTCTCAAAGTAGAGGTTTTTTTTAAATCGCGTACGTGGACAGTACGTGGACAGAAAAAAGGGCTTCTAATTCCTGATGTAACTTCAGGTTACTGCTACAAGCAAATACACCTATCACAGCTATGTTAATTTTGTCAAATTAAAATCTTCATACGGATGACTTGAGATAAATTTCTTTGTACGAAGCTCTGAAAATTAAGAATTAGGTTTCACACGTATCACTATTTCAGTTGTATAAATGATATTAGTAGTCACTATAATATGCCAAGCACTGACA